TCAGAAAGCAGTCAGAGATAACATAATTAAAATCTTCCATAGCAACAGAGTTAGTCAAATTACCTCCTCTTCTTTCCGAAGCATTAGAAATAATGTTAAAATAACCACCAATGCACCAAGGGCCATTAATATTGTTAGCAAATTGTCGAATTTGATCCCAAAGAGGGATACAATTCCATCTAGTGGTAGCAGCATAGACAAAAGAGGCATAACACTTGTAGTTAAAAAATACAATTTCACAATTAATAATTTGAGGGAAATCAGATATAATGTTCACATTAATATTGCTATTCCACATAATCCATATCTTGTTAGAACAGTTAGCAGCAAAATTAGAAAAGCCCAATTTCGAAGCAGTAGAACAAAGTTTATCAGAAGAAATGAGAGGTTCAATTAAAACTAAAAACATGATACTATGCATTCTAGTAAGGTTTTTAACTCTAGCAATAGAATCCTTACCCCTAATGCCCCTAACATTCCAAAGAAGAGCTTTAATCATTAAGATATTTGGAGGAATTTTGAGCACGGGTAGAACGGGGGGTAGAAGGTAGGGAATTTTTATGATTTTTCCCTTTCTTTTTTGTAGCTTTCGAAAATGCATCCTCATCAGAATTTTTAGAATAAGCATTAAAAACAGTAGAAGAGGAAACTACATTCTTACTCACACGGTTTCCATTCGATAGGACCTTAATCACCTCATTTGAAGGAGGGATAAATTCCCCTTCTTCACAAGTAACGGTGTTACCATCCGCAATAGTATCACTTTCCATATTAGTAGCATCATTAGCAAAGGCATTAGATTGATGTTCAACAATGTTAGAAGTAATATGAACTGAATCAATATGAGCTTCCTCTAAATTATCAGTGTCTTTTAGCATAGATTCTATGGAAATAAAAATATTGGGATCGGATGCCTCATTGTTGTTCAGTATGGTTTCATGATTCTCCTCCATTAAAATAATTTCAGCATTAGAAGAATGTAAAGGAGCTTGAGAAGTAACGATTTCAACATCCAACTTATCAGATATAGCTTTAGAAGCAACAATGTCAACATCCAACTTATTAGATGTTGTAGGCGGTTCCACCTGAGTAGATTGAACTTCCATTAAAATAATATCAGCATTAGAAGTATGCAAGGGAGTTTGAGATGCAATCATTTCAACATTCAACTTATCAGATGATGAAGGCGGTTCCACCTGAGTGGATTGAATAACTTTCCCAGTAGGCACATATATTTTCTCGATGGATCCAAGCTTACCATCCATCTGAACAGACGTTTTTTTAAGTTCCGGGTGTAGTTTAAAGCAATCAAAAGGAGCATGTCCATGGATCTTGCAATGAGAACAAAATTCAGGGACTTTCTCGAATTCAACTTTTTTGCATATAACCATAGGCTTTCGATCCCACCCATATTTCCTTAGAATGCTTTTTGGTTATGTCCACTTCAACTAAAATTCTAGCCACAGAAGGTCTTGTGCGTGAAGCTGTAGCTTGATCGGTTTGGAGAGGTCTATCGAAAATAGAACCCAATGCATGTAAAACTTTCTGATTAAAAAAATGAAGCCTAAGATTAGGAAAAGAAATTAATCCATATAGGAACTATTGGCGATTATTCTTTTATATCAAAAAAAGGCGTCCATTTTAAAATGCGCATTTGACAGTTAAAGATGAAATACGATCTTCTAGCAAAGATTCTACTATAGTCAAGATCGTTAGAAAGTTGTATCGCTACATGCCTTGAATCTAAAAGACCAATAGAGAAGAAACCCGAGAGTTTAAGGTTAGTAAAAAAATTCCGAATAGAGTCAAGATTTGGTCTGTTAAGACCAAATTTACCGACCAAGGTGAACTGGAAGGGCGATGCTAGTTTGAGCACTTCATCATCAGTCAAAAGAATGGCAGGAACCCCATTAAAAACCGTTTGGGACAAGTTAGGGAGGACATCACCTGAAGATGCGCCACCAGAGAGAACATCCTTAAAAGATCGTGATCTAGAGGGCGAACCATCACCTGCTTCAAGATTGAAAAAGCCTTTGTTTTTTATCGGCTCAGGACCAGCCACAGCGCCCCAAGGGTTTGGGGGCTGCGAAGCAGCCATCAACGAACCATCCCTCGCGGGGCGAAGAGCAAAAAACGAACAGAGCTAGACTAAAATACAAAGAAACACCGGAAAACTGGGAGAAAAACAGGCCGAAACGGACGAAGACGAAGGAGGAAGAGCGGAAACCCTAAATCGCCAGAGCGTCGGGTTTCAGCTGCCAAAAAAAAGATAAGGAAATGCTGTTGTGCCAAATAGCAGAATAAATATGTCATTTGTCATAATTAATTCTAATAGTATCAAAAACATTTTTAAGATTAAACTTACTAGGCGGAGAAATATTGAACAAAATTTTATCAGTGCATTATAACTGTAAAGGGATGTTCAGAATACTAACAATTAAATCAAAGTGGATAACTCCATAAGTTTATTAACATTCCAACTCCCATTATCAATAAAACTATGAACCTTAATATTATGCAAAAGTATGTGTATTAAGAAAGCTGTCAATAGAATCATTCCCTAACCAATTATCTTGCCAGAAAAAGAATATCCCCTTTGCCCAAACCCCATTTAATAAATTGCTCCCCTAACCAATTATCTTGCCAGAAAAAAATACCCCCTTTGCCCAAACCCCATTGAATAAATTGCTCAGCTTCTCATTTGATGTTGCAAAGCCTTTTCCAAACAAACGAGTTAGACCTTATGTAACTACAAGCTATGGGATGAAGCTCTTTGCAATATTTAATATTCATAAATTGAGCCTACAAACTTATATGAATTACATAGACGACTAGGACGTTTGAATGCAAATGAACATGAAAGAATAGTTACTGCAATGACCATGTTATATGATATCATTAACAGCTACATTTCTTATAGTCACTATGTTCATTAACGATTAAATACTATTTAGATACATATACATAAAATCTTGGTAGACATGTCTCCACAAAGAAAAAAAAAACATGCATATTAAATGTGATGAACCAAGCAATTGTTTTTATAAAGAATAATGTGAACTTATTGTAAGTCAAACAGTTTTAGGGCTATTGCGAATGGTTGGGACTAAGGTTGTCAAAATGAGTTTTCGGGTTGGGTTTGAGTTTGGGTTCAACAAAAAAAATGGTCTGCTATCACTTGATACAAATCAAACCCAACCTGATTAGGAAAATGGGTCACATACCCAAACCCAAACCCGATCCGATTCGGATCCGGGTCGACTCGACAAGACCTGCCAACCCATTTATTAATTAACCATTTCTTCGATAAATGGAAATGAAACAAAATCCTGTGTGGTGTCATGCAACGGGATTTAGGATTTTGCAAAAATGAAGAATCCCACCAACTGAAATGAAATCCCACATCGTTCGGGCTAGCACAGTAGTGCATGCGGGTGCTCCGTGCGGGAGTGCATGGCGTGCCAAATACGATATGCAAATCGAATTTGCATTATTATTTTTCTTAGTAAAATTTTAAGGCATTGAGTGGAGAAATTCATAAAATCAAAAGTTTGTAAATGTTACAAAGCCACGCATGAGTCCAAAATGATAGAAATAAGAAGTCAGCAAAGTCACCTAAAAATGTGGCTCAGTCCTCACTGTGACTTGAATAAATAAATATATGTAAGCATGTATTAGAACTAAATGTACTTAAAATTCATAAAAAAAGTACATGTTCATGGATAGAGCCCAATGTAGAAATCTCAATCATTAATAGAAGTTCATGACCATCTCTCAATATGAAAAATTAGGAATAGTGAGAAATTTCCTATATAACATTATACAAAAAAATTTGTTAAGGGATTCATAGATATAAAAACATTTGCAATGGTTTATTAGTAATTATATATATTTCTATTATTATTTTGAAAAGCATTAAATTAATCATATATAATTAAAGCCTCATAATTATCATATCTTTAATTTTATGGAAATTTATTATTGGTTTATATTTAATAATTTATGTATTTTCTATTAATGTAACTTTATTATAGAACCTTCTCTCTACCCCACCCCCACCTATAAATAGGAGGTTAGTAGGCAACCATAAGGGCACATCACACAAGAAATTATTTTTCTTAAGCTCTCTACTTTCTGGTAATAAAAAAAAAAAAATCATAGCATTCTCTACCTCTCTTTCTCTCTCTATTTCTATATTTTGTTTTGTTTTTTAAAACACACATAGGGGTCTACGTCTTAATTATAAAAAAAAGTACAAATAATTAAAGGATCAAAAGCTCACTAAAAATATAGTATTTCAAGGATATTTCAACAATTTCGAATGATTCTTACAATCTAGATTTCGCCGACATATAAAATTAGATTCAACAATTTCGTGCCATGTAATATTTCTAGGATTATCGATGAATTGATTTGAGATGAATACTTTTTGTTCATGTTAGTTTCTTTCTTTTTTTTTTTATAGAGTTCAAGTTTGGCATGAATTTAGCTTGATTTTTAAATTTTATTAAAGTTTATTTGTTATTTTAACACCGGACCGGAAGGGGCTTGACAACTCCTTGTCAAACATCCGGTGACCGTGACCAAGCACAACACGAAGAACTCCTTAGAAGAATTCACCACCTAAATGCACTTCAAGATACAGAATTAGAAAGCAAACTAAACTCAAATCTTATTCATCACTTTCATTACAAGACAACAGCCCCTTATAGAATTTGTAGGCCACATTAAAGGCAATAGGCCTAAAGAAAAATATAAAAGCCAAACTATTTAATTATGTGACTAATACATAGAACGAAGTTTATAATAAAAGAATCGAGCAATAGCTCCGATATCAAAATTACTTATCAAGCGGAACTAATCACTAAGTTTGTCTAAAACAATTTAATTATGTTTGCATTGTTGAACATAAATACACACAACTTCTTATGAAATAGATGTAGTTTATTTAGTATTTTTGTAATGTCTTATTATTTTGTTATCTTATTCAGCACATTGTAATGGCGCCGAGAAGGAACAAAGGCAAAGAAAAGGTTGATGAGGTTTCAAGTTCCTTTTCAGCTAAGGCCTCTATTGCAGACAATGACGTGAGCCTAGAAATTGACGTTCCTCCAGGCGCTAAATTACTTATGGATTATGAAGCAGCGCTTCTTCTGCAGCAGTTTTATGATGAAAACTTGCCCACATTTACTAAACATGGGATCCAGATGACCGAGACTTTTGAAAGTGCGTTGCAGTACGTGAATGAAGCAGTGCATTACACCAACATAGATTATGTTCATGGCGTCTTGGGCAGTCTCAGAGATTATGGAGTCACTGATGAGGAGATTTGTATGTTGGGAAATACTTGTCCAGAGACCTGTGACGAGGCTCTTGCGTTAATACCATCATTGAAGGAGAAAGAAGATTGGATTGGAGAAGCTCTTGCGACTGCTCTATCCACTCTTGGACAATTAAAAGTAACTATGGGGTAGCTGAAGCTGCATGCTTTTGTGTTGTTCTGAAATCTTGGCTTATTTGTACTAGATTTTTGTGCTTATTTCTGTTACAAAAGATAAAGATGGGTCTGTACCGCGCTTTATACTGCTTTTCAATAATCAACGTAGAAATGTTGAAGCTTTATATATATAGCTTGATTTGCATTCTTCTGTTTGTTTAGCTAGCTAGATTTCAGAATGAAGAAGTTTTTAATTCTGAGGCAGTTGAGGAAGAGTTGGGGAATTTGGGTGGAGAGATTGAGTAGAATCAAAGCATCTCGTGTGCTCTAAAGGTTGATTATATCTCTCTGGAATATCCATTTCTCTCTATTGATCATCAACTTTATAAGAAAAGTTGAATGCTCAAAAATAATGGATGTATAACAAATGCATTTTGGATGATAGAATTATACGGATGCTCTTTAAAACATACAAAAATGTTTTAGAAATTAGTATAATTTAATCATTTTTTTATTTGGTGAAAGTAATTATTTAAATTAGTATAAAATAAATAGAGATATCTTACAAGTAGATTGCATTAGAAATAATACTAATTGAATGTTTATCTTACAAGTATATTGCATTAGAAATAAAATATTTTTTTCACTACTAATAAATCAAGCTTTTGCAGCATTTTTTTGACCTACTGCAACTAGTGGATAAACACCAACTAAAGTATTTGCAGTGGTTTAGGAACCGTTGCAAATCGGATGTATCTTCGTTCGCTGGAAAGAATTTTGCGGCAATTTTATGAGTGTTGCTGATGGAAGGCTTTAGGAGCGCTTAAAACCGCTGCTAAAACCTAGCACAGGTGAAAAAAATATGTAACGCCAAAAACTAAATTTTGTGATAAAAAATATAATGCAAACAAACTAATTAACAGCAAAAACTTATCTCCAATTGAATTCTATTTTCTAACATTAATAAAAAATATTCCTAGTATATTCTTTTCCATAATGTTTTATATATTTTTAATAATATATTTATATTTAAAAAAAACATATAGTGGGTGAACAGTACGATGTCAATATTGGCGTCGCACTGTCTACCAGCAAGCAAATAGCAAAAAGTTTTGCATTCAGCTGGAACGATGAACGACGTCATAAACATGTTTGACGTTCGACTGGAGAAGGCCAAAGGCTGAAGTTCAGCATAAAGGTTAAAATCAGAGGGAGCATCAGTCACTCTATTCGACCAATTATACGGAAAATCTCATCTGCCTCTAGAAATGACATCTTTAATTTTAAGATTAGATTGATGATATTTCAAAACATGAAAAGTGCTATTATAAATATAAAAAAAAGAGAGGTTTTCCATTTATCTAAGGATCCCAAACAAGAGATAAATTACTTTCAGTATGTATATTGAAATTCACCAAATTCTTAAATATATAAGAAGGCTCCCTCATCATCTTTCAAACCTTGGAATAAGGATTAGAGAAATCAGCTTCTAGAGGGAAAGAGATATTTCTTTCCACCAGCAAGACTGCAAGCTTTCATTATTATTAAAAAATCTCCAAGTGAGAATAGATGATTACCAAAAAACATAAAATTTTGATGAATAAAGGTCTAGAAAATGATGTTACTTAATTACAAGCTAAATTCTAGAAATAGCCTATTCCATCTCAAAGCTTCATCACTTAGCATGAGAGCATCAACGCACACCTTCATCTCTTAGGCTCCGTTTCGGATGACTTTCTTATTGATTTCCGAAGTAGCTTTTTAGTAAAAAAATTAAAATTTCTATACTAAAAAACTGCTTTAAGAAATAATAAAAAATCGATCCGTTTGAAGCCTATTAATCTCACAAATAGCATGAAGAGAAACACCCTTATATGTGCCAGAATAAGGAAGCATCCAAAACAGGAACGAATTGGTGATCAGACTAGGGGTGTAAACGAGTCGAGTCGAGTCGAGTTTTGGCCCTTATCGCCAAGCCGGCTCGAGCTCGAGCTCGACTCGCGAGCTCGATAAGCTCGTATACGAGTCGAGCTCGAGCGCGAGCCGGCTCGGCTCACTTAAACCTATGATCAGTTAATCAAACATAAAAAAAAGAAGTACATGAAGCAAAAGAACCACTCCTAGTCCAAATCCTGGCGTAACTTTTCCAGAGGAAAGATTTATTAAGTAAAATTTTTGGGTGGGGCCATTATATTATTTACAAATTTGTTCTAAAATATTTCAATATAAGAGTTGCTTGATTAGTCATATTCACATATCTCACAAAAAAACTAATACTTTTTAAATATATCATGATTAAATTTTGATTAAAATATTCTGATTGAAATTTTCTCCTTTTGTTGGTCGTACTATCTATGAACTTGACCTTTGGATTAATTAATTAATCTTAAAAATATAATAACTCAAATGCATAGACAAACATAGATATTAACAAAATATATTAAGCTTGTAAAATACAAAATTTTGATATAGTTATTCAATAAATAAAAAAGTCTTCTCTTAGCTCAAAGGAAATAAATTTATGGTGATATGGTTTTCATGTTGTAATTATTACATGCTAAAGTGGTATTAATAAACTCAAGAGCTCACCTTCAAATTATATTCAACTGAGTAAGAATCCAAATTTTCTAAAGCAGTCCACAGAAGTAAAAATTATTCTGTGCGGTCACCGGATGGCGTCCGGAGGCAAATCAGAGTGAATTATGTCATCTTTTTTTTATATATATTGGTGTTGTGTAACTGGTGGCGTGACACACTCTGATTTACCTCCAAACGATTTGATTACCACACAGAATAATTTCTCCCACATAAGGCCCCATGATCATGTTTTAAAAGGAATTTCAAGAAGAAATCAATCTTTTTTATGTCAATGTTCTATTTTTTGTTACTCATGCAACTTATTAATTGTAACATATATGTGATCGTATTGGTAGATATCTTTAGTATTTTGGGTGCTATATAGCATCTACATAAGGCCATGCTTAGTCATCTCTTCCAATCTATTCTCTAACTTTTCATCAATGTTTCAACACAGCTAATTCATTTTTATTTGAAAATCATGAGATAGTTAACATTATTTAAAAGACGTGCAATATATATAGATCAAATGGTTGTTTCTTTTAAAGATTTTAAATAATTGTTTGGTGATATTTACATACACAAGAAATATATCATATGAAAAAGCTGTTAAATGTCATTTAATTTATTCTAGCATGTAAAGCATAATATAATTAAGCTCAAATAATTATAATTTAATAACATGCCAAAAATAGCAAAGAGAATTATAAAGATGTTGATAAAATTCTAGTCTTACGCCCATATAATTAGGATTAAATGTGCTTGAAACTCATAAAAATATACTTTTGGATGCGTCAAATAAAAAAAATACAAGTCTTTAATGTGTTCAAATGCCCCACCAAAGCTCTAGGAGTGCAATCAAAATTATAAAAAACACCCTAAGTGCCAATGAACCCAATCTAAATTACGATAAAAGAAAAGGGAGGCAAGGAGCCAACCCTAAAAAAAGAGCCTACGCTCGAATGATCAAATCAGCATGATCAGGTAGCAAGCAACAAACCTGCAAAAAATTGCAACACAAAGGTAATAGCATAAAACAAGAGGAAAGAAGACGAACCTGCACTTGGAAGAAATAGGACCAAGAACCCAAGCATATGAGATAATAGCAACAAAATGAACCAACCATCAAGATAACTTGAAATTAAAAAACTCCTAGCACAAAAATCAGAGCAGAGACCGAAAGAAAACTAACCCAGTAGAATAACAAAAACATCAAAGTATCCAGACAGGAGGTGACCCACAAAAAATCCCAACCAATCACCAGAAGCCACCCATCAGAATGGCCACAACAAAAGGAGTGAAACTAACAAAACCCCTGAGCATTTTATACCCATCAGAACCACAACCCAAATAGCAGGAACCACCCAAAAGAACCATGACACCAACCAACAGAATCCAACCAACAGAACGACCAACAACCAAAGGAACCAACCCACCAGAATCACAACTCTAGAAGGACAAAAAAGAAAACAACCAACAAATTAAGCTAAAGAGAGCACAAATATAGAGACCAAATGATTAACCTACAGGAATACCTAACAGAACATAGATGACACCAAAAGAACCACACAAGATCAACCACATCATACAATAATCACAAACAAGGAAACCCCAACTGATCCAAATGGATCATACATCTTAACTTATGAAGCCCTTTCGTATCATAAAAAAAATAGAGTAGAAGATATAGCAGAGCCTTTTTTAACAAGCTAGTATGCACAAATGTTCACCTCTCTAAGAATGTTGGAAATCACAAATCAAACTTCTCAAGAATGTTAATAATATTCTTGAAGATATAAACCAGACTATCATTCATATAAAATTTAGCCTTGATAAGATTAACCATAACCAAAGAATTAGATTCAATCCAAACTTATCAAAATTGTGATCGACACAAAAATTAAGGCCCAATAAAAGAGAAGAGGACTCCACAACAATCACCTTACGAGTATGAATGCAAGAAGCAAAAGCAAACATCATAGTACCTTTGTAGTCTCTTACAATGTCACCCCACCCGCACCAAACTTCGAGATAGAGCCATCAACATTCAATTTGAGCTAGAGCATAGAGGGTTTATACTAATACAAAACTCTAGAAACAACATTCTTTCTCTCAATAGGAAATAAAACATGGAAATAAGAAGCCCACACCTTCTTGCCCTTAAAGTATTTAGACTTAAGGAGCTTGGATGACACTATTTGATGAATTTTATTCTTTAGAGCAACGATGATTCTATCCAAGCTCATCTTGATACTCTGATGTTGTATATTATTATTTTTTTCAATCTAAATAAGCCAAAACACCAACATATAAATAACAGTTAAAATATGATTGACAGGTCTATGCTAAAGTCATTGAGCAAGAATAATGAAACAAGAAACATTAAAGTAGCACAATTTAAGCCCCAAAGCATTGTTAAGATGATACCAAACATTTATAGAAATCATCCCGTCGATAAAA